ATTCCTTGAGCTTTTCCCTAAATTTTCCAAGTATTCTTTGATTTGGAAAAATAGCAAATCCCTACCAAAATCTTTCCTTGTGTAGCCTAAAAGTTAAGCCTAATGTTTCTTTGTAGCCTTTGAGTTTCAAACCTTAGCTAATTTCTTTTCTACCCAACCTTTAAACCACTTAAGCCAATTATCTTTCTTGGAACCTAACCCATTTTAATTCTTTCTAAACCTTAAATTCCCACTTTGTTCAAAATCCCCAAATTTAATCATCTTTTTCCCCAATCTCACCCAAATTCCTAATTTCTTCCCCCAAATTCTCTTCTTCTTTTTCCTTCTCCCTACCCGTGAGCTACCCGAAGCCATCCCACCCCCACCAACCTGCCCGTCGCACCACCGTCTCGCCACCGCCGGAGCCTCGCCGTCCCGTCGCCGCCGCCGACCTGCTGTGTGCCGCGTCGCCGTGAGAGCAGCGAGAGAGAGAGAGAGCTCGAGAGAGAGAGAGTGCAGCGAGAGAGAGAGTGCAGCGTGAGTGTGAAGAAGGAGAGTTGTGGGCTTTGTTTGTTGAGCTTTGGATCATCTTCCGCCATGCCTAGAAGATCAAGTTTGGCTAGGAAAGCGGAATGGGTGGATGCCCATTACCTTGTGCTTGAAGGTAAAGCTTTTGATCCAGAATCTTTTTCATGTTCCTTGTTGCATTTGCTTAAGTTTCAAGGTTTGTTAGATGGGTTTCTCACCATAAGGGCCGAGACTTACCCGAGTTTGGTGAAGGAGTTTTACCGTCACATGGTTGTGACGAAGGATGGTGAAAGGCTTAAGATCACCTCTAAGGTGAGAGGTGTGAAGGTTGTGCTTTCTGAGAAGAGGTTAGCCCAGTTGTTGAGTTTGTCTGCTACCGGAGTGGCTCAGTACAGTGGTCATTCTTGGATTAGTACGGATACCATGGGGTACCGTGACTATTTGAGCTATCTGTTTGGCCGTACGAGTGGTTTCACTCAAGCTTCGAGGCCGGAAAAGAAGTGGTTGTCTGTGGAACAAAGGATTTTGGTTATGTTGGTGTCAGATTGTTTGTTGCCTAATAACAACAAGAGTAGTTTGTTGGGTAAGTTGGAGTGTACCTTTGCTTTCTGTTTGAAGAATATGGTTAAGTTCAACCTGCCTGCTTTGATGATGCAACACATGGTGTTTTGCCGGGATCACAACCGGAAGAGTTTTCCGTATGGCATGGTGCTAAGTTGGATCTTGGTTAAGAAAGGTGTTAGTGTGGATGGTTGTCTCCCGAAGGCTGTGGGAAAGATGGTGTTGGATACTGCCAATCTCCGGAGTTGTAATCTTTTTCAGTTGGATAGTGGTGAGTACATCACGCTTGAAGAGGTTGCTAGGAAAGCACCTGTTGAGAGAGCAGAGTTAGCTGCTGGGCTTGGGATCCATGCCAGGAAGTTGAGTCTTGCAGTCCAGAGTTTGGGTGGTGACGAAGAAGTTGAGGAGGAAGCAGATCAGGAAGAAGAAGAAGGAGCACCGGAGACCGCTGAAGCTGAAGTAAGTGAATCAGACAGTGAGGAAAGTCGGAGAAGGAAAGAAGTCCACACCAAGAGAGAGCAGGACGTCGCCTCTTTGCTTCGTCAGCAGAACAGTTTGATCGCCGAGGGCTTTGCGTTTGTGAGGTTGCAGTTTGCCACAGTGCATCAGAGGCTGGATCGGTTTGAAGCTAGTTCTAGTCTCAGAGATGAAGCCGAAGAAGAAGAGTCTGATGAGGCTGAAGACTTGGAGAGTGAAGAGTTCTAGTGGTGTTGTGGTAACCCCGTTCGTTTCTTTCTTGTTGTTTCTTAGCTGTTGTAGCTTGGTGTTAGGTTGTTGTGTGCTTTGTGTGCTTGCTTGTTTTGCTTGTTGCCTTGTTGTGTTTGGGTTAGTTGTTTAGTTCTAAGTTGTTGTCTAGAAGTTGGTTGCTGTGTTGAGGGTAGAGTTCTTGATGCTCAATCTATCCGTTTGTTGACCCTTTGCCAATCTTTGAATTCGTAATGTCTTTTTCTTTGCCTTGGAACTTTGTGAGAACTTTTGGAGTTTTTGACCAAAAGGGATATTCTTGAAATTCTTGTCACAATTTTGTTTCCTTGTTACCTTTCGTTTTAATTCGTTGTACCAAAGTTTCGGGGACGAAACATCTTTGAAGGGGGAGAGGATGTGACACCCCAAAAATCCACACTCCAATCCATGAATTAATTGAGTAATTAATTCTATTTCTTTGAGGAATTGATTCCTAAAATCCTGATTTTTGATACTCAAGGACTAGTATTTGACTAGTCAATCTTTAAGTGGTGTTGTACCTTGTGCTTTGAGAGGAGTTCCCTTGTTCCTTACACTTTCTAAGAGTTATTAAGGGTATCCTTGTCTTTTCACCAAGAGTTAGTTTTGTAACCTAAACCTAGAAGACTTCTTCATTTTTCATCCCTTACAATTCCTAGAAAATATCTCTACCTTCTCTCTAGAAAAGAAGAGTAGCTTGTTCTTCAAGCCAAGTGAGACCTTTGTCAAGATTCCAAGTTTTGCTTCCAAGATTCAATCTTTCCTCTATTTGGGCATCTAGAAGGGTAAGATCTAAGCTTGTCTAGTCTTTTTGGTTCCATCTTAGTTGTCTTTTTCTTAAAGGTAGGATCTTTATGATCTTTTGGTTTGATCTTGAAGTGGGTTTGGCTAGTGAGCTTAGTGGAGAGCTTGTTGTGGTGTAAGAAGAGTCTTTTGGTCTTCAAGAGGTAACCCATGCTCTACAAAACCTATTTTGCTTACCTATATGTGATTTCTTGGATTCTACTTGTGTTTTGCTATGAAATGTGAGAGTTTATGCATTTATCTTGTGATATTTCATATCTAGAGCTGGTGTTTAGGATTCCTTTGTGCCATTGCTTGGCATTTTCGATGGTTCAAGTCATTTTGTTGTGTTTGGTGAGATTTGGCATGTTTTGGACTTGAATTTGTGTTTGGAGGAGAAAATCCCCGAAGGGATTTGTTGTGGTACAGGGACGTACCCGCGGGCGGAAAGGCGGGCGGGGCACCACCCGCCGGCCTACCCGTGGGGAACGTGTTGCCCTGTGGGTAGTGTACCAGCGGGCGGGACCACGGGTGGGGCACTACCCGTGGGTCCACCCGCGGGGAACACGGTGGATTTGGTTCGGGATTTGTTCCCCGTGATTCGTTTGTCTTGGTGTTTGATCTTTTGGCTTCCCGTTGTTCTTTGTGGTACTATTTGAGTGTCTTCTTGATGTTTCGTAGGTCTAGAACTATATGGTAGGTATCCATGAAGGATCTTTGGTGTCTTGAATCGTGCTAAGTATTCAACTTTGTGTTTCCTTGAACCGAGTGGTGTCTTGTGTGTTCCTCGGAACTATCTTGAGTTTCCCCGTTGTTAAGCATGCTAGTTCGTTGTCTTAATACTAGCGTGTGTGTTGTTCGTACCTTCCGTTTGGTTGATGATAACTTGTGTTATTCATCGTTGTTGTTGTTGGGCTGTGACCCGTTCCTTGTTGAGTGTGTTTCATACCTTCTTTGCAATCCGTTGATAGTTTCGTGTGAGTGGTGGTGCGTGTGTGGCTCTACCTGGATTGCACGATTAGTGGTATGGGACACTAGTCACCAAGGTATTGCAGCGGTCCTCGTGGTAGCCGTGATGTGATTATGGAGTTGTGGCTGAGACCACGTGTTTGGGGGATAACATTGTGTTATCCGGGCATGTGTTGCCGTGATTGGTGGGTTTTCGTTGGTGGTTATAGGTGGGGGACGACGGTCCCGGCGGAATAAGGTTGGACTTGGCTGTACAGGGGATTTCTAGAGGTAATGGTTGGCTTTGAAGGTACAAGGATGGGGGTACCCATAAGGTTGGAACAGGGCATAAGGAAGGCATATCAACTCGTGATGGGTGATGTCACGAGGGCTTGTGTAGCCGTTGTGTTGAGTTCTCTTCTCTCGTGACGTGTGTAGTCACGGAGACTTGTGGTGTTTTGGCATGTGTTGCCGTTGGGTGAGTCTTTATCCTTGTGTGTGGTTAACCTTTGTGGTTTGGGATGTGTTCCCGGTGTTATCCTTGTGAGTGGTGAGTCTTGTGTTGTCTTTTGATCTTGGCTTTTGACTTATATATATGTATTCCGTTTCGAAAATGGTTTCTATATCTTATATCTACCTATTTATGATACTTAACGGTATTGGTGGGTTACCAGCATCTTTCGCTGAACGGGCGTCGCCCTGATGTTTATCTTTGTATCTTTTAGGTGTTGAGTAGTCGAGCGCGATGTCTAGAGCCGGTAGCTTAGCACCTGTACCTTTAGATTGTGTTTTTGTGGCCTGCGTGCCAATGGTTTTAGACTGTTTGTAGTTTGATGTTTTGGGATAGTGATACAGTTGCAGATTGTACCCTCTTAGATGCTCAAGAGTATGAAAGGTGGAATCTTGGAGACAAACTTTGAAGATCTTGGAAAGTCCCAACTTATCTTGGAGGAAAAGCTAGCTAAATTCTAGAGAGAAAGAAGAGCTTTTGTTTTGAGAGTGTAAGGGAAAGAATGAGAAATGTCTTCTAGGTTAGCTTGGAATACAATCATAAGGGAAAAGTCTTCTTTACCCTTACTAAGATGAAAAAGTGTAAGGAGACAAGGGAACTATTCTCAAAGCTTTAGGTACAACACCTTGACTTGGGTTGACTAATCAATTACTTGTCCCCGACTATTGAATTTTCAGGAATTTAAAAAATAAATTACCAATTAGATTAGGATTAATTACTTAATTAATCCCTAAATAGAATTTGGATTTGCGGGGTGTCACATCCTCTCCCCCTTAAAAGAAGCTTCGTCCTTGAAGCTAATTAGGCACAACGAATCAAAGCAAAACGGAAAAAAATGAAACAACAAAGTGACAAGAGTGTCAAGAATACACTTTGGTCAAAACTTAAGGGGTTCAAAAGGTATCAAAACCAGCAAGAAGTCATAGCATTGAAAGGATTGAAAGAAATAACCAATAGAGTTCTTTGATCATACAAACACTAAACCAAACACAACCACAAAACTTCTAACCAACAATAAAGGTCCTAAACTACTAGCTCCTAGCACAACCCACAAGGCTAACTACTTAACACACAAGCAAACAAGAACGAACAGACAAGGTAAACAACAAGCAACTAGCAAACGGAGAAACGAGGTACCTGACGAGAACAACTCTGGATAACGCTCCCTCATAGCTGACTCAATCTCCCAAGTCGCTTCTTCAACGCTGTGATGGGTCCACCAAACCTTCACCATCTTCACTGACTTCCTATGCGTTTCCTTGGTCTTAGAATCCAGAATCTTGAGCGGCCTCTCTTTGTAGGACATGTTATCGTCTAACGGGATCACCTCCGGTGGTAAAACGTGTGTTGGGTCATGAACATATTTCTTAAGCTGCGACACGTGGAAAACAATGTGCACTCGCTCCAACTCCATAGGTAAAGCCAACCGATAAGCTAGACCCCCAACCCTCTCAAGTATCTCATAAGGTCCTATGAACCTGGGGCTTAGCTTGCCCTTTCTTCCGAACCTCATCACTCCCCGGTTCGGAGAGACCTTCAGCCAAACTTTATCTCCAACCACGAATTCCACTTGCTTCCTTGCCAAATCGGCGTAAGACTTTTGACGATCCTGTACCACTTTCATTCTTTCCTGAATCTGTTTAATCTTCTCTACTGTATCGTGCAAGTACTGCGGGCCCAGCTCTAACACCCCGTAATCCAAATTCAATTAAGGGATTATTTAAGTAATTAATCCTAATCCAATTGATAATTTAATTCCTTAAATTCCTGAAAATTCAATAGTTGGGGACTAGTAATTGACTAGTCAACCCAAGTCAAGGTATTGTACCTAAAGCTTTGTGAGTAGTTCCCTTGTTCCCTTACACCTCTTCATTTTAGTAAGGGTAAATTGGACATTTCCTTTCATGATTGTACTCCAAGTTAACCTAGGAGACATCTCTCATTTTTATCCTAACACTTTCAAAGCAAAAAGCTCTCCTTTATCTCTAAAAACCTAGCTAGCTTTCACTCCAAGCTAAGTTTAGACTTTCCAAGATCTTCAAAGTTCATCTCCAAGATTCCACATTTCCTACCTTTGAGCATCTAGGAGGGTAAGATCTATGTTTCTTTTGTGTTTTTAGTGTCTTCTAAGGTGTCTTTTCTTAAAGATAGAATCTTTATGATCTTTTGGTGTGTTCTTGAAGTGGGTGTGGAAGGTGAACCTTGTTAGGAGCTTTGAGAAGTGTTAAGTGAAGGTTTTTGTCTACAAGAGGTAACCCATGCTCTACAAAATCTATTTTGCTTACCTATATGATGATTTATTGGATTCTACATGTGATTTTGCTATGAAATGTGAGTGTTGATGCATTGTCTTGTGAAAATGCATATCTAGAGCTTGTTATTAGGGTTCATGTATGCCATTGCTTGGCTATTCCTTTGATTCAAGTCATTTTGTTGTATTTGGTGAGATTTGGCATGTTTTGGACTTGAATTTGAGCTTCGTGTTGAAAATCCCCGAAGGGATAATTTGTGGTACAGAGGTGTACCCGAGGGCGGAACGGCGGGTAGGCGTCCACCCGCCGCCCCACCCGCGGGGAACAAGGCATGGAAGATTGTGTTCCCGCGGGCGGAACCACGGGTGGGGGTCCACCAGTGGCCCCACCCGCGGGTACGTATGTTGGTGTTGGGCGGGGATTTGTTCCCCGTGATTCTTTTGACTCAGTATTTGGTATTTTGACTTCCCGATGTTCTTTTGTGGAACTATTTGAGTGTCTTCTTGATGTTTCGTATGTCTAGAACTATATGGTAGGAATCCATGTAGGTTTTGGTGTCTTGAATCGTGCTAAGTGTTCAACCTTGTGATTCGTTGAACCGTGATGAGTCTTGTGTGTTCTTCGGAACTATGTTTGGTTTATCCGTTTGATAAGCATGCTAGTTTGGTGTTTGAATGCTAGCGTGTCCGGTTTGTCCTATCCTATTGTAGATGATGACTTGTGTCAATCATCGCTGTTGTCGGATTGTAATCCATTCCTTGTTGAGTATGGTTTCATATCTTCGCTGTGATCCATTGATTGATTGCTATGATGGTGTAGTGTGTGTGGTTGTACCTGGATTGCACGATTAATGGTCCGGGACATTAGTCACCAAGGTACGGCAGTGGTCCTCGTAGTGGCCATGACGTGATTTGTGTGTCGGGTTCACCAAGGTACGGCAGTGGTCCTCGGTATGGAGTTTGTGACCTGTGTGTCGGGTTCACGTATTTCTTGGGAGGCATGTGTTGCCATTTGTGTGATCGGTACCCTCGTGTACGATGAAATCGGTGGTTTTGTTGGCGGTTTATCGGCGGATGGGGACGACGGTCCTCGGAGGGAAAAGGTTGGACTTGTATGTACAGAGGTCCTGGATGTAATGGTTGGAACTAGCTATAAGGTTGGGGGGTAGCCATAAGGTTGGAACCGGGCATAAGGAGGCATATCAATTCGTAATGGGTGATGTCACGAAGGCATGTGTTGCCATTGTTGTGTATTTCTATATTTGTGGCATGTATTGTCACAAAGGCATGTGTTGCCAATGTGTGTGTCCCTATTTTCTCGAATTATGCATGTCGGGTGATATTCTACTGTGTGATGGTAGAATACGCCTTGAGCCGTTCTTATGAGTTGTTATTGCTTCTTGATGTCTTGGGATGTGTTCCCTTATCTTCGTTGTGAGTGTATTGAGTCTTGTGATTAACTTCTATCCTGGCTTTGAACTTATATATACTTTATCTCATTTCGCAAATGATTTTGTATATATATATATATATATCCTATCTATGTATGATATTTCGCATGTATTGGTGGGTTACCAGCATCATTCGCTAACCGGGCGTCGTCCCATATATTCATGTGTTTCTTTCAAGTGCTGAGTATACGAGAGCGCGGTCTAGAGACAGATAGTGTAGATTCCCTTGAACCTTGTGATGGTTTTGGCCTGTGTGCCGTTGTTAGACTTTAGACTTGATGTTGTTGACTTTGTTCTTGGATAGACAGATTATGTTGATGTGGTTTACGCCTGTGCGTTCACCGTTGTGGGAGCGTGGCATAACACTCTACGTTTTCCATCTATTTCATGTTTAAGTCTTCCGTTGTGTATGCTTTTATGGTTAGAATTATCTGCATGTTTAAGCTTTAAATTGGTAAGGAAATTGGGGGTGTTACAGTTGGTATCAGAGCCTAAGTTTGAGCTTAGGATGGTAGAGTCTTGACTTCTAAGTGGCTAAGTGTGGTATGAGACCTTAAGGTGACCATAAGAATCTAAGTGTTTAGGCTTAGGATTCTTAGGATGCGCGGTGAGGTGAGCATTGTTTATAGTTGTTTGCTTGCCTGTTGTTTTGTTGGTAACAGTGTTGTTGTTGTAGAAGTCTTTCGATGCCTCCTCGTCAGCGTGCACGTACGCCGAAAACCCCGACGAAAGAACAGCTTGCCCAGAACCTACATCAGCTCACACAGACTATGTAGACCCTCGGTGAGGCGTTGTTGCACAACAACCACCCTGCGCCACCTCCGCAGTCGGCCGGACAAAGAGATTTAGGGCGTCTGGTGTCGGGCAATCGACCTCCGACGTTCACGGGCATAAAGGTAAATTCTCATTCAATCCCAAGCAGAGCAGTGCTAAACATAAGAATACGGGGTGTTATGCCACATCTGAGCTGGAGAACTCAGATGCACAGGCTAAACTATCTGTTTATCCTTAAACCTCATCATTACATCATTATGGCACGCAGGCCGAATAATAAACTATCTATCTAAGCCTTGGGTCCTCTAGCGCGCTCCGGAGCTAATCATCTGTGCCTGAAAGCCAAATATATCTGTTCAATGAATAATGCTGGTAACCCACTCTAACGCGTTGAAATGCCGTATAAGTATATATATATATATATATATATATATATATATATATATATATATATATATATATATATATATATATATATATATATAGATATAAGAAAAGCCATTTTGAAGCAGGAAGATATATTCTAGGAAACTCTAGTTTCGAAACCGGAATAGACTCGGCAGATAGGGATAAGCACATTCAACAGTTATAACCAAGCATATAAATATACTAGCATATATCCTACTGTCACAGATTCATTTTATCTCATTTATATCATCATCCATCTCATCATACAAGCACACTTTGGTGGCGCCACAGGACCAATCGCATGCCCATACATGAGGGTCAGCGCATATAGCTCTGACACGGCCCCGTAGCACCCTGCCTCGTATCGCAACCAAACGGTAAAACGTTTGATCATTTGACCGCAGCCAGGAATATGAACCGCAGCTCATGTAAAATGTTTGATCGCAACCAAACGGTGGACCGCAACCCGAGAGTGTAATTCTGACCGCAGCCAACTTCTGAACCGCAGCTCAGGAATAACCAATTTGATCGCAACCAAATTGGGGTATCATGCACACATAACACATAGCAAGCACATGTAACCCACATTAACATATTGGGAAAAGGAAGAAAACGTAGAACGAAACCTATGCATGGTCATCCACATACTAGGAATAATCCTAAGGGTTTCATACTTCTTTCACCTAGGCCAACGGGATACCAATTCAACTAGCATGTGATATATAAGACTCATTTATCCTACAAACGGTACCCGAAACATCAAACTAGACTTAGGCACGATAAACGGAGTCCGTTGGGACACCACGAGGGTCGGGGAAACATCAAACGGGGAAGCCAAAGTCCCGAGGTGGGCGAATTCCAGCGGGTAGCCAGTGGGTGGAGGACCACCCGCCGGCAATCAACCTCCGGGCAGCGGGTGCCTGGCGGGCAGTCGTCTGCACGCCGGCTGCCCGTTGCCGGCGGCGTCTTTTTGGGCAGCGGGTAGGTGGCGGGTTCCCCTACCCCCCACTGACTCTTTATCAAAATAACCGTCTCGGGATCCTTTGTGGAACCCGAAACCATGCTTAGACACTTTTAAACGCAATTGATGACACCACGTAGACAATTAACGGATCAAAAGCAAGAATCATATAGCACATATCCTATCATGACTTCTAAGCATACTCAATACCCGAACATGCGAATTTCCACCCAAATACATCAAGAATATCACAATATGAATTTCACGATTCGTCCTAGGGCTCTAATCATATTTAGATCATCAAGATCATAGTTCATCTTTTAACATCAAGAAAACATCAAGATTTATCAAGAACATCACATAATCATCAAGAACCTCTTATCATCATCAAGATCATCAAGATCACACATAAATTTATCTCATCAATCATCAAGATCATATCATCAACATCATAAACGATTTATCAAGACACGAGTGTAGAGAAGAAGCCAAAGAAGGAGATTATAGCAAAGAAAATAGGTTTTGTTAAGACATGGGTTACCTTTTACCCTTAATTAATCATCCCTTGGTTATTAAGGTTCTTCCCTAAGATTTCCATCCGTTTTGATCTCCCTAGGCTTGGTGGTGGGGAGTCCCTTGGGAATTCTTGTGTGGTGATATCTATTGTGGTGTGACTTCTAGGTGCCTCCTATGTCCTTATATATATATTTAGGAGTCTTAATTAGGGTCTGAATGGTATGGGTCTACTAATTCTATTCCTTATAAGACTTGTTTTAGGG